GGGGGTGTGTCAGATTTATATGACATAGTTGCTGTAGGCTATAGTGGGGTAGCACATATGGGGTACAGGGTTTCTAGGGTTGTATTTGTACCCAATCTTTCCTTAGTCATTTCATTCCTGTTTTCCTTGCTTCACAGCTTCTTTGTGCGTTTGATGGCCTGAACATATGCGTGGAAAGGTCAGGGTGCCCCATGTTTCCGTGTCATCGTCTGGCTGTTTTTTAAAGCACCATTTCTTCATGCATACAGGTAATCCTATCACATAACGTGTCATAGGAACTCTTCTGAGGTCATAAAAAACGACTACGCATTAAGTGACGCTCCTTTGTGCGTCTGACGGCCTGAAACTGTGCGAGGACAGGCCAGGGCGCAACATGTCACCAAATCTACACTCATCCATGTACTGTAGTTAATTACCTTGCCATAGGAACTCGTTTGAGATAATTCGTACCATACCGCAACAAGTGACGCTTCTTTGTGCATGATAGTGCCAGAAACCTGTGCAGGGATAGGAGAATAGGCGACAATGCACCGTTTGATCGTTTGTCCGTAATTATACACACGCACCCAGTATTTCACACTCATTTAGCTTGGATTGGGCAACCGCGGAGTTCCGGCTATGGCACATGTGTATTTGGCCTGTGTGTCAAGGAGAAGAATATTGTACGGGATAAATACATTGGTTTATGTATCAAATATCAAATAGCCACTGGTTGCATTTTTGGTGACCAATTTGCATTTGTGGTTATTCTCGATACAGCAATCTGCTCAGATCTGGAGTCGCGATGTTGTTTGTTCCCGCCAGAACCCGTTTCTCTTTCGAAATCAGTTCATCACCTCATCTCGAAGCCACCCATGGATCTGCTCTGTGTCGGTTGAAGTCTGTTCCTTACCTCAGCTGCCTAGCTCTTCGAACCCCATCGTGTATCTCCTCTGTGTCCTTTGGTTATCGTTTGCTCTCTCACCACTTAACGCTCCTGAGCTCTGCGGACACGCGTTTCGCATCGATCCTGGACTGCCGCCATAATCTGGAGGCGCTTATCGCGCCGCGTCGGCTTGCTTCGTTTTCGCGCTATGGTACCCCCCTAGCCGACCGCCTCACCATTGCGCGGGTGAGCGGTGCGACGCCGCGCTCGCCTTCCCGATCCACCGCCTTCGAAAATCAGGTGCGACGCTTGTTTTAAGAGACGTAGCGTCGGCACCACGAGTAATGAGGTGCCCTCATGGCTTTACTGGCGCTACAAGCGTTGCGATTAGAAACTGTGCATCAGAGCTTGCGAAACCGCTGCATATGTTTCATACGCCCGCACAGGGGTACCCAGGTGCGTTGCTTGGTTTACGGACATCCTACCGTTCTAAAAGATACGGGTAAGTTGAGGTGCTTTCCTACACACAAGGGGAATGTGAATGCGGTAGACGCCAAGAAGGTCCGGCAGATGAAACCGGAGGGTGCCTTTTCAGCTGCATCCCGTTTCTCGCTCTCGCCGCGCCGCGGATTCGCCGTTAGCCATTTGTGCAACCACTGTTCGCTCTATGTAGGAGCACTCCCTTGCTCTCTGTTCTCTCTCTTCCCTGTTTCGCAATACGCTATTTCCCGTGCACACGATCGGATCTCTCCCGTGCTCGCAGTCTGCTCTCTCTCGTGCTCCCGATCCGCTCTCTCCCGGCCTTGCAATGCGCTTTCTCCCGTGTTCTCGATACAATCTCTCCCGTGCTCTCGAACCGCTTTCTCCCGTGCGTGCAATCCACGCTCTCCCTTGCTCTCGATCCGCTCTCTCACGTGCTAGCAATCCTCTCTCCTGTGCTCTCGGATTTATCCCTCCCGTGCTCGCAATCTGATCTCTCTCGTGGCATGGCAGTACGCTCCCTCCCATGCTCTCAGTCCGATATCTCCCGTGCCTGCAATCCGCTCTTTCCCCTCCCTGCAATACGTTCTCTCCCGTGCTTGCAATACGCTCCCTAGAACAGCGAAGACGGTCCAGCAGTGAGCAGATTGCCTTTTCAGCTGCACCCCGCTGCTCGCTCTCGCCGCGCCGCGGATTCGCCGTTCGCCATTTGTGCAACCACTGTTCGCTCCCTGTAAGAGCACTCCCTTGCTCTCGGTTCTCTCTGTTCCGGCCTTGCAATGCGCTTTCTCCCGTGTTCTCGATGCAATCTCTCCCGTGCTCTCGAACCGCTTTCTCCCGTGCGCGCAATCCGCGCTCTCCCTTGCTCTTGATCCGCTCTCTCACGTGCTAGCAATCCTCTCTCCCGTGCTCTCGGATTTATCCCTCCCGTGCTCGCAATCTGATCTCTCTCGTGGCATGGCAGTACGCTCCCTCCCATGCTCTCAGTCCGATATCTCCCGTGCCTGCAATCCGCTCTTTCCCCTCCCTGCAATATGTTCTCTCCCGTGCTTGCAATACGCTCCCTAGAACAGCGAAGACGGTCCAGCAGTGAGCAGATTGCCTTTTCAGCTGCACCCCGCTGCTCGCTTTCGCCGCGCCGCGGATTCGCCGTTCGCCATTTGTGCAACCACTGTTCGCTCTCTGTAAGAGCACTCCCTTGCTCTCGGTTCTCTCTGTTCCGGCCTTGCAATGCGCTTTCTCCCGTGTTCTCGATACAATCTCTCCCGTGCTCTCGAACCGCTTTCTCCCGTGCGCGCAATCCGCGCTCTCCCTTGCTCTCGATCCGCTCTCTCACGTGCTAGCAATCCTCTCTCCCGTGCTCTCGGATTTATCCCTCCCGTGCTCGCAATCTGATCTCTCTCGTGGCATGGCAGTACGCTCCCTCCCATGCTCTCAGTCCGATATCTCCCGTGCCTGCAATCCGCTCTTTCCCCTCCCTGCAATACGTTCTCTCCCGTGCTTGCAATACGCTCCCTAGAACAGCGAAGACGGTCCAGCAGTGAGCAGATTGCCTTTTCAGCTGCACCCCGCTGCTCGCTCTTGCCGCGCCGCGGATTCGCCGTTCGCCATTTGTGCAACCACTGTTCGCTCCCTGTAAGAGCACTCCCTTGCTCTCGGTTCTCTCTGTTCCGGCCTTGCAATGCGCTTTCTCCCGTGTTCTCGATGCAATCTCTCCCGTGCTCTCGAACCGCTTTCTCCCGTGCGCGCAATCCGCGCTCTCCCTTGCTCTCGATCCGCTCTCTCACGTGCTAGCAATCCTCTCTCCCGTGCTCTCGGATTTATCCCTCCCGTGCTCGCAATCTGATCCCTCTCGTGGCATGGCAGTACGCTCCCTCCCATGCTCTCAGTCCGATCACTCTATGTGTATCTTCCCCAGCAGGATTCCGTCGTCACACGGCAGGCCAGCTAAGAAGACTTCGCAAGTTGTAAGGCATCTACCATGGACCGACACCTTACACACAAAATCAATGTTGTATATGTTCCACGCAATGGCCGACACCACGCGTTTTTCATGTTCGTGGCGGATGATCCAATTCGAAGCCGGCCTGCAGCAACCTGTACCGCCCGTGCATCCAACTATAATGGGTGGTGGCAGGATGCGTTGAATTCAGACCCATTGCACACTCAAGAGTTGGGCGTGTTTGATGATGTACTTGATGGTTTCAAGGACTTGTTTGACCAGTGAATGAACTCGTTGTCTTCTTGTATGCATGACTGGTACTGTCAAAGTTGCATAAGATGCGTTATTTGTACATTTGCCCACTCCAATCCTTAGACACACCATCTTATCCTTAGCTGTGTATCATCTCTAATCTGTTGTGTGTCACCTCCTCACGTTTTCCGTCCTCTCCCCTGCTCTACCCCTTCCTCTCCTTATCTGGCCCTTACTCTCCTTCTCTGCCCCCTCCTCTCTTTCTCTAACCCATCCTCTCCTTCTCTGCCCCTTCCTCTCATTCTCTCCCCCTTCCGCTCCTCCTGATCCTTCCTCTCCTTCTCTGTCCCTTCCCCTACTTCTACGCCCCACACTCTCATTCTCTGCCCCATCCTCTCCTGCTCTGCTCCTCCCTCTACTGCTCTGCCCCGTCATCACGTTATCTCTCCCTTTTACAGCTTCTCTTCCCCATCCACTCTCCTCTGTCCCGTCATCTCCTTCTCCTACCCTTCCTCTGCTCCTCTGTCCCTTTCTCTCCTTCCCTACCCCTTCCTCTCATTCGCTGCCCCTTCCGCTCCTACTCTGCCCCCTACACTCCTTCTCCTCCCCCTCCTCTTCTCCTCTGTCCCCCCCGCCCATACTCGCACAATTATTTCCTTTACTCGTCCTCTTGGTTCCTATTATGTTTTTCAACGCACCCATCATGCAGTGGCGCAAATGGTTACCTGTCAAATATGCGGAAGGGAATGCAAGACACGGCAAGCACTGCTGGGTCACATGACCAACCCGGTTTGCGAGGCAACTGCCGCAGCTCGCAGTGCCATACGACGGTCCCCCGAAGCGCGTGGGTCCAAGCGTGCACGCCCTACATCCGTTCCATCATTGTCTTTGGGTGGTGGTGCTAGCGATGGCACCGGCATGCATGGTAGCGGACAAGAAGGCCCATCTGGTGGTTTAGGCCCTATGGACAACCATGAAGAGCATGACGGAGTAGCTGTGGGAAGCATGGTCCCACCCGGATTTGATACTGATGAGGCTAGTGATAGTAGCAGTCACAGCAGTGAAAATGATAGCTTACCATGTGATGATGATAACTTTGGGATAGTGGCTGAGGAGGGGAGGCAAGAGGGCGACGTTCACAGTTCATTTGAAGCTCCTCGTAGGAACAATCTGGACGCTTGGGCACATTTTTTGCTTACCTGCCGCTTGTCTAATAGCCAGATCAATACCCTATTTGATCTCATGCATGACAAGGACTTGGACATGCGCGACGTCCTCCGATGGAAGAATGTGAAAGATGTACATGCCTATGCAGAGTCCAAAAGACCGGATTCGCACCGTGGGTGGCAACGGCGGTTGGTTCGGTCCCAAGACAAGGCATGGCTGGAGTATTGGGCGTGCGATGGATTAATAGCTCTCCAAGATCTACTAGCCCACCCCCAATTAGCCTCTCGGATGTGCATGGTTAGTTCACCGCAATATGATGGCGAGAAGCGGGTGTACTCCACGCCGGAGACCGGGAAGTGGTGGGAAAAGTTGCAGGCGGAGGTTCGTAAGGTGGACCCGGAGGGCGTGGTGGCTGCTTTGATACTTGCGAGTGGCGAAACACACATGGACCATCGTGGCAAGGCCAAGGGCCATCCGGTGTACCTAACACTTGGAAACATCGACAAGGACGATCGATGGAAACCGTATGGACACGTCCTCCTTGCACTTCTCCCTGAGTACCCGCCAGAGTACTCGTCTCTTGACAGAACGGATGTCTTCCATTACGTCATGAACGATGTAATGGCGGGCCTCAAGAGAGCATCGCACACGGGGGTTAAGATGAAGAATGCAAAGGGCGAGACTATCCATGTGTGGCCGTCAGTGTACGCCCACATCACGGATTACCCGGAGTCTTGCAAGGTTACATGCACGAAATCTCTCGGCACCACATATCCGTGCTCCTTGTGCAAGGTACATAAGGACGAGCTCAAGCGGTTTGAGTTCCGGATTAAGCCTAGAACTCCCTCTGAGCAAAACCGTGTCGTGCAAGGGATGAAGCGTGGCACCATTGACCCTGAAACTAACGAGGCTCTCTCCACACACCCCGTTAAGGTATGGTTTCGTATATACCCGTCTATTCGTTTCGTGCTCAACGCGTTATTCCGCATCCATGCACCTACTAATTGTCCTTATACGTATGTGGTGCGTATTTGTGCCCATGCAGAGTTACCTATGGGGTTGGAGGTGGGAACACGAGCCGATGTTGAGCCCGTGCCTTGCCGTGATGCCCGATATAATGCACCAAGCGGACTTGGGCATTCTTGAGCACATCATCGCTTTGATTCGCCACTATGTGCTAAAAAAAAAGAAGAAACCATCGTGGTTGAAGGAGTTTGATAAGCGGTTGAAGTACGTGAAGAGCATGCTACGGGGGGGGAACATGAGGCTACCATCGGGAGAGTACTTCGTGAAGGGTGCGAACTACCAAGCATACGAGCACCGTTCCGTCATGCAAGTGCTACCCTTCTTGGTGCGAGGGATTTTGCCACAAAATCAATTGGACGCCATCATCGCCTACATCGAATGGTACCTCGAGTGCGCAAGGACGAGTGAGCACACAGAAGTGACACTCCTGGACCTGAAGAACAAGGCCAACGTGTATGCCACCTACCCCCTCTCTGGCCCCTCCTAACATTCTCTGCCCTATCACCCCGTCTCTGCCCCCACACCATGGTCTCTGCCCCGTCATCACGTCTCTGCCCCATCCCTACCTTCCATGCCCCATCGTCCCTTCTCTGGCCCTCGTGTATTTTTCTGCCCCTCCATCGCATTCTCTGGCCATCCATCCCATTCCCCGCCCCATCACCCATTCTCTGCCCCCACACCATGGTCTCTGCCCCATCCCTACCTTCCATGCCCCATCGTCCCTTCTCTGGCCCTCGTGTATTTTTCTGCCCCACCATCGCATTCTCTGGCCATCCATCCCATTCCCCGCCCCATCACCCATTCTCTGCACCCACACCATGGTCTCTGCCCCATCGTCATGTCTCTGCCCCACGACTACCTTCCATGCCCCATCGTCCCTTCTCTGTCCTCTCGTGTATTTTTCAGCCACACCATCGCATTCTCTGGCCATCCATCCCATTCCCCGCCCCATCACCCATGCTCTGCCCCCACACCATGGTCTCTGCCCCGTCATCACGTCTCTGCCCCATCCCTACCTTCCATGCCCCATCGTCCCTTCTCTGGCCCTCGTGTATTTTTCTGCCCCACCATCGCATTCTCTGGCCATCCATCCCATTCCCCGCCCCATCACCCATTCTCTGCACCCACACCATGGTCTCTGCCCCATCGTCATGTCTCTGCCCCACGACTACCTTCCATGCCCCATCGTCCCTTCTCTGTCCTCTCGTGTATTTTTCAGCCACACCATCGCATTCTCTGGCCATCCATCCCATTCTCTGCCCTATCACCCCGTCTCTGCCCCCACACCATGGTCTCTGCCCCGTCATCACGTCTCTGCCCCATCCCTACCTTCCATGCCCCATCGTCCCTTCTCTGGCCCTCGTGTATTTTTCTGCCCCACCATCGCATTCTCTGGCCATCCATCCCATTCCCCGCCCCATCACCCATTCTCTGCCCCCACACCATGGTCTCTGCCCCCACACCATGGTCTCTGCCCCGTCAGTACAAGCAAGGTCAAGAGGTGAGCAAGGAAGGCAAGGCAGGCACAAGACCCAGCTGAGTACAAGAGCGCTGATGATCACAAGGCGCAAGCGCCTTGGTGAAGATATCAGCAGTGTTGGCCTCAGAGGCCACGTACGCAAGACGCAGCTGACCACGCTGCTGCAGCTCACGAGCAAGGAAGTAGCGGAGAGCAATGTGCTTCGTTCTGTGCTCCAGTCTCTGCTCTCGACACAAGGCCAGCATGGCCTTGTTGTCTACGTACAGCACTGGAGGAGAACGAGGCGGCTCTCCGAGGTCAGACAGCAGGTAGGTGAGCCAGCAAAGCTCCTGTGCAGCCATGGCCCCGGCGTAGATCTCAGCCTCACAACTGGAGCCGAGAGCAGAAGACGAGCGGGTAGCCCGCCACGAAACAGAGCCGGAACCAAGTCTAAAGGTGTAACTCTGTGACGACCGCTGCGTAGCCTGGACGTCAGCCCAAGAAGCGTCTGCGTGCCCAATGAGGACCACTGGACTCTGCCCTCCAAGCACAAGCCCCATGCCTGACATACTGCACAAGTAGCGCAACACCCTCTTCGCTGCAGCCATGTGCTCTGGTCGGTGTCTCCTAGGAGCAACATAGCGTGCCAAGATGTTAAGAGGGTATGCTAGGTCAGGTCGTGTGCAGGTCATCAGGTACATGAGGCAGCCAACAAGCTCTGGGTACGGGCCACTCGGCTCTACGGACTCATCCGAAGGCAGAGCTGAGAGTGAATGGCGAGTAGACAAACGAGTGGCCTGAGGTGAGGAGTACGTGAATTCGAAGCGCTGAAGGACCTCCTGCACCATGTGTGACTGAGTCAGGGTAATGGTTCGACGTGCTCTGTCCCGGGTGATCTGCAACCCAAGGTAGCTACGCAGTTCACCCAGGTCTGTGCACGTGTGTCTCTTCTGCAGCTTGGACTTCACGTGGGCGAGTCCAGCAGTGTCAGCTGTGGCAAAGACCAAGTCGTCGACGTACACGAGGATATAGAACGGCGGCAAAGAAGTGTCGGTGCGCAGAAACAGCGACGGGCCGGCAGTAGAGGGAGCAAACCCAAGAGCCGCAAGTGTAGTCCTCAGTGTGTCGTGCCACTCACGCGGTGCCTGGCGGAGACCGTAGACTGGCCGCCGGAGGCTCCACTGGGTGCCAGGAGGAAAAGACCCAGTGAAGCCAGGTGGGCGGCGCAGCCAGATCTCCTCGTGCAGGCTGCCCTGCAGGAAAGCTGTGCTGAAGTCAAGAGGGTGAAGCTCGTAGTCACGGTGAGCAGCTATGTGCAGCAGTACCCGAAGAGTGGTCATCTTTGGGATGGGAGAGAAGGTCTGAAAGTAGTCAACTCCCTGCCGCTGACTGAAGCCACGAGCCACGTAACGCGCCTTGAAGACACGCGGAGAACCCGGCGGCCGCTTCACCCTGAAAATCCACATGCCACTGACGATATTCGCCCCTGGCGAGGGAACCTCGTCAACGTAGGTGCCTGTGGACTTCCAGGAAGCCATCTCTGCATCCATAGCTGCCTGCCACTTAGAGGAGTAGGGACCCTCTATCGCCTCCGCGTAAGAGCGCGGAGTCGGGATGTCAAGTGCATCCGGGTCTCCCTCAGGGGTAAGCAGTACGGACACGAGATGAGGTGAAGCAGCAGCCACACACTAGAACTCCTCCTGCCTGTCCTCAAGGACGTCCGTGCCAAGGGCACACTCACCCCCGACGACCGGAGGATAGACAGACTCAGACTCAGCAACAAGACTGGCGGCGTAGTCTAGGCGACGGCGAGCAGCAAAGTCGACGAGCTCAGCAACTAGGGCAGACGCAGTAGTGGACTCAAAGGAAGGGTCAGTGACAACAGTAGCAAGGAGACGCGTGACAGTAGGACTGGCAGCACGAAGAGAGTCCGACTCCGGGTCGGCAAGAGCAGGAAGAGAAGACTCAGGAGGAGAAGGTAAAGGGGCACGCAGAGGAGCAGTGGACGGACGCAGAGATATCCGGTGCGTGCCAGGGACAGGAGGAGGACGCTGACGCGAACCGCGACCACTGGTGCGAGCAGCACGCACAGGCGACGCAGGGCGAGACGCAGGCTCACGACGCTCAGCAAGACCTCTAGTAGGACCAGTGTAGGGAGACGGAGCAGGCAGTGGGGAGGCCGGCTGTAACTGTAACAGTCACGGGACAGGCTGTGGACACACAAAGGGAGGAGGAGGACCAGTAGAAGGCGGGAGACCAAAACCTGCTGAAGGAGCGGAACGAAGTACGGCCGAGGCCGCGCGGCGACTCCAGACACAGCAGGGACAGCACCAGTACCCCCAGCGGCAGCACCAGCACCAGCAGCACCTCTAGCTCCAGTACCTCCAGCAACACCAGTAGCACCCCCAGCAGGACCGCCTCCAGGACCGACTGCAGTAACCACCGCGTCAACACCTGCAGCAGCTCCAACTCCAGAAGTACCCGCAGGCCCAGCAGCTCCAGTACTCCCAGCAAGAGCACCTCCGGGACCCGCGGCACCAGCACCCTCAGCAGCAACAGAACCTCCAGTACCCGCAGCACCTCCAGCTCCAGCAGCTCGCCTCCAGCGTCGGGCAAACCACTCACGCAACTCCTGTGGAGAGAGTGGCTCCCGGCGAGACGAAGCACGCGGAGAACCGCCAGGCACAGCACCGCCAGACGCCACACGAGCAGGCCCAGCTCCCTCAGGCTCAGCACCTCCAGGCGTAGCACCCCCAGGCGTAGCACCCCCAGGCTCAGCACCCCCAGGCTCAGCACTCCCAGGCTCAGCACCCCCAGACTCAGCACCCCCAGGCTCAGCACCCCCAGGCTCAGCACCCCCAGGCTCATCACTTCCTGGCTCAGCACCCCCAGGCTCAGCACCCCTAGGCTCAGCACCCTCAGTAGCACCAGAGTCACCAGCGACCTCGACAGGCTCAACAGTGTCTACCTGGGACACACCTGAAGGGGCAGGACCCTGAGGGGGGAGGGGGTCTACCGGTGGGGGACCTGGCACAAGGAAGAGCGGTGGCGGGGGGAGGGACGGACTGTGGTAGGGGAAGAGACGGTAGTAGGGGACCGACTCGTTGAACGTGACGTCCTGGGAGGACAGAACACGGCGAGAGGTGGGGTGGTAGAACTGCCACTCTGGCGCGTCAGGGGGGAAACCCAGGAAGACGCAGGGAGCAGCACGAGGGGACAGCTTGTTCGCAGACAAGTCGCGGACAAACGCCCGAGATCCCCAGACACGAAACGCAGACGCATCGCCAACCTTCCCCATCCACAGCAAAGCTGGGGAGGTCTCTAGCATGGAGACCCTGGGCTGAAGGTTGATCTCATGCGCCGCGTACCGGACCGCAAACGGCCACAGAAAATGGGGGGCAGCCGCATGCATCATGGACGTACGGGCGACGTCCATGACCATGCCAATGCGGCGCTCAGCAATCCCATTTTGCTGTGGAGAGTCCGGAAGCGTGAAGGTCTGGCGGATGCCTCGTGCACGGCAGTAGGCCCGCAGAAGGCCAGAGGAGAACTCTCCGCCTCTGTCAGAGTGCCGACAAAGAACAGGAAAGTCCGAGCCGAAGCTCTGCCTGAGCTGGAGACGAGCTGCGCGGATCCAGTCGATCAACACCGCAGTGACATCACCCTTGCTGCGCAAGGGGAAGACTGTGGTGTAACGCGAGTAGTCCTCAACCACCAGCAGGAAGTAGTGCTCGTGACCCTGTCCACGGACGCGGGCCGGGCCCCACACGTCCATGTGAAGCGTCTACAGCGGGGCCTCTGTCGGAGGAAACTGTGAGGAGTGAGGGGCAGCCCGCTGCCGCCCCTCGACACAGGGGACGCAGGTAGGGCCAGGCCCCGGAGGAAGGGGAGGGAGGGACCGGGGAAGACCAGAGACAAGGACACGGGAGGCCATGCTTCGGAGACGAAGCAGGGAGGGGTGACCAAGGCGGTGGTGCCAGAGGAGAGTCTCGTGAGACAGGAGACGACACGAGCAGGGGGAAGACTCAGGACCAGACCTGGACGCTGCAGCAAACACCTGACCCGACGCAGCTACCTGACCAGACGCAGTGACTGGAGGAGACGCAGTGGTCAGCGTGTACAGGCTCGACCCCGGCCGACGTGTAAACGTGGCCAGGTGTCGGCCTGTCCGAGCGTCCGTGCAGTGGGTCACCCGCTGACTCGCAGAAGTGAACTGGTGAAACCCCTCATCCTGTAGGTCAGCACCACTCACCAAGTTTGTAGAGAACGAGGGGAGGTAAATACCAGACAGGGTGCTAGAGGGGGCCGCCGGACACGGGAGGACAGTGGAGAAGTGAGCAAGGACTGGACCCCCAGAGGGGTCTGCCAGAGAGACTGCAACTGGCCGACCAAGCGGCGTGAGTGTGGTGCGGTCTCGAAAGAAGGAGCGGGAAGCCCCCGAGTCAAGAGTGAAGGTGTGAGAGGCCGGAGCCGACGCGGTACCTGAGAGAGCAGACTCACCCGCACCTGAGGAAGCAGACTCACTAGCACCTAGAGCAGCAGCCGCACCTGTACCTGGAGCAGGAGACTCACTAGCACCTAGAGCAGCAGCCTCACCAGCAGCTAGAGCAGCAGGCTCTATACCCGGGTCAGGCGGTACGCACAGGTGACCGGCACGGTCAGCACTAGTAGGCAATGCATACATGGCAGTGAGAATAGCATCATAGTCAAGAGCAAATATATCTACCCTCTGCCTAAGCAACTCCACCCAGTCGGGGAGCTCAGCCTCGTCACCAAACTCGGTACGCCAGGCGTCGCTCAGACGGGCGAAGTAGCGGGACTGTGTGTGACTAGGTGTCCCACAAGGCTGACCAGTCCGAGCACCAGTGCGAATCACGTAAGAGCAGCGAACAGAACTGAGAGACCCTCTACTCTGAGCGTACCACTCACGAAGCTGCTGGGGAGTGAGAAACGCGCGTGGGCGTCGCTGGAGTTGCATCTGGCCGCCGCCAGTAGTAGTAGCAGCAGTAGTGGTAGCAGTAGCAGCGCCGCCACCCCTACAATCCC